TTACCTAATGCCTTCCCCGCAAGCTTCCCCCGAGTAAGTCGGCCCTCTTCAGTGAACAAGCTTTGCGTGTGCTCTGTGTCCCACAGGGTCGCACACTTTTGTCTTCACACGTTAGTCAATGTTGGGGGGCGGATCCCACCCTGGCCAGTTTTCGTGTGGCCTGTAAACAGAGAACGGTGTTTACCTTTTTAAAGGGCTGTTTAAAAAAACAAAACCACATGTGACAGACCTGCTGGCCCGTTACAGAAAAAGCGTGCCAGCCCGGATCACGTTGGCAGGGCAGTGTGTGTCTTGGCTTTTAAGGTTAAATTGTGCGTAGAGTGTAATTTCCAGTGTGCTGTGAATATGGACAATTAAAGATGAAGGGACGACATTGTTCCTTCAAGTGTGTCCAGTGGACCCTGCCACGTCGTGCTCTCGAAAGCACGAGCAGGCGCCGCCTCGGTGGTCGGAAGACGCCGTCGCTGCCTTTCCTCCCTGGCTCGTGTTTTCATCCCCCCGTCCCACAGGACGTTACCCCGATGTGAACATTTTCCTACCGTGAGTATTTTGTCACCTGGTCTTACTCTTACTCTACGTGTATGCTGAATTATTTTCAAAGTTCCTTTAGCTATAACACTCTGGTGTTACGCATTTTCTCTTGGATGGTTGCTAGTTATTGTTTGTACCAGCTCCTGGCTCCCCGTTTTCCTCCTCTGCCGCCAGCTGCCCCCCGTCTCATCTCCCGACCCCTCTAAAGGGGAGGACCTCAAGGCTTCTGTCCTCGGACCTGCACGGCAGGTCTCCAGGGACCTCGCCGGCTTGTGAAATCTAAGCACTTCTGTGCACGGAATGCTCCCAAACTGCTCTCCCCCGGCCCGCCCTCTCCCCTTCACTCCAGAATGACCCGTCAGCTGACGGCCAGCGCCTCTACTTGCGCGTCGCCGCGAGACCTCAGGTCCACGTGTCTGACGTTGAACGTCGTGCAGCTGTGCCCTCTGCCGTCTTCGATCTCTGTCCTTCCCACGGCAGGGTCAAAGGTCCCCGGGCTCTTTCTTCTCCACCGCGTGCCGACCCGTTAGCCGATCCCGTGCTGCTGCCCGCAGCGCTCCCACCCTGGTCCTCACCAGCGTGACCTCCGCTGACGAGTCACAGCCCCGGGGTCCGCTCTGCGAGCCTGCCCTCCTGTGCGCACACCCCTCTTGTGGCTCCTCGGCCACTCCGTAAAAGCCAGCTCACTGACAGGGGCCCGCAAGGCCACGCCTGTCACCTCTGTGGCCTCAGCTCCTGTCCCCTGCCTGGCTATCTGGCCTCCTCAGCGTTCCACACCCGGCCCTCCCACGGGCCTCACCCAGCTCTCCCTCCCTGGGGTGTCCATCGCCCCGAGAGCCTCCTCGTCAGCCTACCCTCTCTCCAACCCCCATTTAAAATGGCGGCCCCTCCTGCCCGCTACTCCCTTAGCTCTTTTCACCTTCTGTTATATGATGTCCATCCTTATTTTGTCTCCCACTGGAGGATAAGCTTCATAGGGGCCGGAAGGGGACTTGCTGATATAGGTGTTTTGTTACAGCTGTGCCATTCTGTCCTTGGACTTCAAAGTTAGAGGCCAAAAATGAGCGGGTCTTTCTCTGAAACGATCTCTCAGCCGACTGCTAGATGAGGGTCCTTCTTCCATTTTGTCAGAATCAGAGAGTTGGAAAGCACCTGACGTGGAAAAGGCTTTGTCACAGTTTCTGGCGTGCGTACTTTCCCGAGACTCGTCACCCACCTGATTGATCACTAGTCACTGCGGAGCGTCTCATTTGCCCTGAAGTGCTCAGAGCTGAGGAGATCGTGCGAGCATTCGTTTCGTCACCCCCTACCAGTGTGACGTCTTAGAAACTCACCACGTGCTCTGTGTTTTCCTCAAAAGCTCAGAACAGGCTGAGCTTGTTCTGTTTGTCGGCAGCACCTGCCGTGACGTCACTGGCGGAACAGGTCTGATTCCAGACCTGCCGCAGCCAGACCCGGGTCAGGCCTCTCCTCCCTTGTCACTTCTGAGATGTGCCTCTGGCCGCCGTGTCTCTGCTGAGTTTAGTTCCTGGCGGACCGGCGAGGCACGGCGCTGGTCACCTGGGCGGAAGAAGGCGCATGCCTTTTGCTTATCGACGGCCCTTAGGCCTGCTTCTCCGGTGGTGGCTTGTTCACAGTCGGCTGCGGGTAGGAGTTGCTGAATGAGACAGTGATCGCCCGGCCTCCAGACGCCACAGTGTGTCGGAAATCAAGACAGTCCAGCACGAACCAGGTCCTGTGACACCGTGCCCTGCCCGTCACGGGAGTGGGTGTGGGACAGGGGAGGGCACAGCCGTCCCCGAAGGCGTCCGTTCAAGGTGCGTCACGGTGACCAGTGCGTCCGCGGTCCTCCTGTCCTCTGCGATTAGTTTACAGCTGAGGCAGAGTGTCGTGTCAGAGGACATGAGAAGTCGGCCCACCTTTACGGGGGGTGGGGGTGGCAAAGGACAGCTGGCGGGACTCAACTTTGGGGGTGCCGGCGGGCACATTCGCTTGAGGACAGGGCACACGTGGACACGGGCCATCTAGAAGTGGGTTCCCGCGAGGCTCTTGGTGCCCACACTCCCCCTCCCCCCCTCAAGCAGCCTGACCTTCCAGGGAGACCCATAACCGGCTGGAAGGCACTGGCGAATCGTTCTGGGAGGCAGGAGGGCGTGGGCCCAGGGCATGGGAGGAGGGAGGCGAGCCCTCCCGTGGTCACCCCGGGGCTGAGGACAGGAGCTTTCCCTGCTGCTTGCCCTGTCGTACTTGGACACTCAGTTATCTAAGGAGCAGGATGTTTTCAGCCGTAGCCTCCCTGCATTATGACACAGTTGGCAACTTGGATGTGTGTGGCCCTGGCCACGGTGTGCCCTGGGTGACAGATGCCCTGAACCCTCTGCCCGCTGGCACCAGAGCTGAGGCCTTTCTCCGCTCCACCCTGCGAAGTGCAGGCTTGAGAGCCAGACCACCAGGTGACTTGGCGAGAACTCTCCAAGTGGCTCCTCACTGAGAGTTGATAATGAGAGATGATCTTGGGGTTCATCTCCAGTCTGTGCCCCAACTGCTCTTTAAGTTGGACTGTGGAGTTTCTGGGCGAATTCAGTGACACGTAAGCAGGCTGGAGTGGGTCCAGAAGTCATGTATCTTAGAAGAGAGAAGTGTTCCAGGCTCAAAGCATCACCTTCCCCAAGGAGGCTTATTCCGTGCAACACCAAAAAAACATCAGAGCGTCCGCTCTGTCCGGTGAGCCCGGAGATGGTGTCCTGCTGCTGCTGATGAACGGAGCGCTTGACGAGGCCAGAGGAACAGAAAAATCAAAACCACGTGAGACCAAATGACAGCCCCTTTGGAAGTGGTAGGCGGTGGAGGCGGCACTCACCAGTGAAGGGACGTGGCTAGGGGACAGCCGCCGTGGGGCAGGATGGGACAGCCAGAGCACGGCCTGGAGCCTCAGGAAGAGGGCCGAGCAGGAGCAGCATGTCACCCAGAAGCCACGGCAGTTCATTATGCGCGGCTTCAGGAGCCTGACGCTGACTGCTATGCAGGTGATCAGCATCGGGGTGTGAGGCTGATGGCCTCAGAGACTTTGGGGAATGAGGCTGTACTCAGAAGCCACTTATTTAAAAAGTTCTTGTATCTGGAGTTAAATTTTTTCCCCCAAATAACACCTTTTCCAAAGACTTGATGCTGTTGATCACTAACCCAAGTGTATTTGTAAGCACTAGAAATAGACATATAACTAGGGGCAGGATAAAATAAGTGGGTACTGTGGGATGATAGGCAAGCAACTAGAAAAAACTAAACCACCTTATTCTGTGTAATAGATTCTAGATGAATGAATGAGCTGATGAAATGTATGAAACCGTAAACTTACTAAAAAATACAGAAATAAAATAGTTCTGTAATCTTGTTTGGTAAAGACTTTTAAGCATAGTATCAAGGACGGAGACCACAGAAAGACTGGCTGAAGAACAGAAGCTGAGGGGAACCACAGAGTCGGGGGGCTGACAGCAGACCATTAAGCGTCCATCTTAGACGGAAAGCTGAGGGAAGCGGTAGATGAGGTATTGACGATTTGTTCTTGGTTATAAATGTTTTAGGGGATGTTGGACCTTCATTTTACACAGTATTTTGTCAAATCTTGGGATTTTGAGTCATTTAATTCCTGGGGGGCGTGTGCAGGCTCCAGCGCATTCGTGCTGCAGCGCCCTCTGCTGGGAGCAGCGTGCATGGGAGAGGCTGGTGGCTCTGTCAGAGGGATTGGGGCTGCTTTGTGGGATCTGATGGCCCAGAGTGGCACGGCCGTGCCACCCTACGTGGGGCCGCCTCCTGTGCCTGCCAGCCCACGGCAGTGGACCGGGCAGGGCACACCAGCGAGGCAGCGAGTCTGTCTACTGGGTTCAGGGTCGTGTCCCCATGTCCCCAGGGCCTAGAGCAGTGGCTGGCAGAGGGTCTGTCCTCAGTAAACCTTTGTTAAACGACAGGAAGCTGTGTGCCAGTCAGTAGGGGAACAGCAGCCGCCGCTAGTCTGCCAGCCCCGTGACACTGATGTTCTCGTGGGGGAGACCAGCAGCGGACAGATGACCCAGCAGCTTAAACAAGGGGTTACCTGTCGTGAGTGTTGGAGGGGATACACTGGGTGCTGTGATGTGGAGCACTTGAGGCTGAGAGGCTCGAGTGTGGCGGGGGAGACAGGCAGAGACGGAGTCTGCCAGAAAGATGCCTGTGCCTTCCCCGAGGACGCCCGCCCGGGGCAGGCACGCACAGCAGGCAGGCCCGTGTGGAGCGGGAATGCGGGCGGGGAAGATACGGGGCAGGACGGGGGCTGGACGGCAGGGGGAAGGACGGTGGCCTAACGAAGGCCCCCTCCGGCCCTGTCGTTAAACTCGTAATGCTCTGCATTTGCCAAGTACTAACATGGTGTTTGCTTTTGTTTCCTTTTTTTTTAATTTAAAGGATTTTTTGTTTTGTTCTGTGTTTCTTGATAGATGAGGGTTACTACCAGGGCGGAAAATTTCAGTTTGAAACTGAGGTTCCGGACGCATACAACATGGTGGTGAGTAGCCTCGTCTGAGCCCGTGTCCCCTTCGCGTGGCTGGGCGGTGTCACAGGCCCAGCAGAGGGTGGCTGGGCGGTGTCACAGGCCCCGCATGGCGGTGTCACAGGCCCAGCAGTACCCCGCATGGCGTCTCTGTTTCCCGCCCCGGCCTGATTACTGATAATTCCTGAAACGACCGACAATTCTGTGGTTAACGTCACTGAGCAGCAGCATTTAGTTTTAGCAGACAGATTCATTTCGTCAGCAAGGATCTGTGAGAACTGTGCCGGGCAGCCCGCACTGGGGGACAGGTCTGCGGGCCGCAGCGGCCGCCCGGGCGGGACCTTTGCTGTGAGCTTCCTGTGGATCTCATGCCAGTCTTATTTGTTAAACTCTGGCCCTGAAGAAAAACAGCATCTTATTTAAAACTGTAGCTTTGTTTGTAACGTGACACCAAATTCTGGAAGCATATAAAGTGTATATTTTAGAAAACAATGACTTGTAACTTTTGACTGTAGGTAATTTATCCTCACAGCCACGTGGTAATCCCTCAAAGACCCTTCTAGGTACTGGTTAGAGCAAGTCCTGTCACATTCTGCCTTTGCTTTTAAGGAGCTTTCTGACCAGTTAGGGAGGCGAGAGAAAGTGTGGAAAGGTCTCGTAAAACGATAGAAGTGGTAAGTAGCAGGCGACAGATAATGGTCGATGATCGAAAACTGCCTCACAGCAGCGGTCCCCGACCTCTGTGGCAGCAGGGACCGGTGCTCCCATGAAGACCTGGCACCTGATGGTCTGAGGTGGAGCTGAGGGGTGACGCCAGCACTGGGGGCGGCTGCAAACACTGGTGACTTTGCTCGCTGGCCCACCACTCACCTCCTGCTGCGTGGCCAGTTGCTAACAGGTCGCAGACAGTACCAGTCCTTAGCCAGGGGGTTGAGGACCCCGAGGGGTCTTACAGGAATTCAGAGTAGAAAAAGAATTGCTTTTAGAAAGTGGTCAGGGCCAGTTAAGCTTTTAAGGACGAAGGGAACTGGAGTCGTCTTGACTTGGGTCGGCCCATCACCGGGACATGTTCTAGGGGACGAGGAAACCGCGGCCCACGTTGACAAGGTGTGGGAGTGAGAACGGGCAGCTCGCCCTCGGTGCAAAATCAGGGTTGGGGACCATGGGGGAGGAATGAGAAAACTCAGGTCTAGGGGCTCGTTGGGCAGTTCACTCTGGCCGTGAGAAACTGTGGAAGACCCGGAGCAAGCCCTCACACCCCGAGGGGGCCGTGGAGGGCCAGGTGTGCCCGGAGACACGCCGTCCCTGATCGTCGTGGCTGGCATGCGGCCAGCTCTGCCTGCGCATGGTGCACACGCGTGTTTGTATTTCCCCTGACGCATCCTACCCTAGGCCTTGCCAAATAGGGGAGAGAAATCTGATGGCAGAATCAGGCCCCTGTATTTCCCCCATCCTACCCTAGGCCTTGCCAAATAGGGGAGAGAAATCTGATGGCAGAATCAGGCCCCTCATTAACCTGCGGCTGTGGGTACTGGCGACGGCACGCGCCCCACTCCTTCACCCGCCGTCGCTGCTCCCCATGGCCCCATGTGGCATTTCCTCCCCCGCCCCCCCGCCAGGGTACAGTTCAGGGGCCATAACACTTTTTTGAAGCCAAACATTTACTCATGGAAATTGATCTTTATTGGGCTACTACATTAAAAGTTCTTTTTAAAATGCAGTGTATGTGGATGGGTAAAAGTTAGCAATGCAAGAAAAACAAAAAAAGAAATTTTTTTTTAAGGTTTTTAGTTTTGTTTCTTTTTCCTCCCTCTTTAATTGCCCCCACCCCCACTTCCACCCCTGACCTATGGATGTTGCCGTCTCCCCTTAAGAACTGGATCTCTGAGGGCGGGGCGCACCTGGGGCCTACTGCACCCGGGGCCTCGTCCGTGGCTCCACCTGGGGCACGAACCCAGGACCTTCTGCGTGTAAAGCAGACGTGCTCTGGAGCCACCCCCCAAAAAAAGAAATTTAATTTTTAAGCAGACAGGAAAGTATGCGTTTCAGGTCTGTGTCCATCCGTCCGTCCAGCATCCCACTGAGACGTCCCACAGTCTCCTGAGCACAAGCCCAGGAGCCTGGCTTGGCGACACCTGCTCCCCCGGGTGAGAGGCGGGGGCGGATTTGGCTTAAGCGCAGACGCTTAGCGTCGGGGCTGTCCGGAAGGTTTCTGGAAGCAGCTGGACATGCAGTACTTGCCATTTCCGACCTTTAACCCCTTTCCCGTTGGCCCCGAGAATCCTCGCCGGCAGCCGTGCGGCTGCAACGTTCACCCCGAGATAGCGTGTGGATGCCGGCCCTAGCCTCACCCCCAGCGTCTGCCATCCATCGCCCGTGCTCTCCAGAGAACTGCATCGAAACAGGGCTGGTGCAGCTGGGACGGCTCCTTAGCATGGAAAACATGCCGAACGATCTGAGAAAAGGGTCGCAGGGGGACGACCGTGGCCGGATTCTGTGGCGAACTTACGGCACTGACGTGGTGTGACAGGAGGTGACAGTGTCAGCGTTCCACAGCGATGCCATGAGTGAAGGAGACAGCGGAACTGGAAAGAAGACTCAGGCCGCGTGTCACTGGATTGCCGCGAGCACGTGGAGCGGTGGACGCGGCCGATCAGACGCTCGCCCACCCAGCCGGGGCCCAAGCGTGGTTACAAGAAGCTCTTCGCCAGCTTCTGCCGGTACCGTGCAGCGCTCCTCCGTCCTGTCCCACTCGCGGACGGTCCTGAGCACGCGGTCCGCCCTGCGGAACTGGAAAGAAGACTCAGGCCGCGTGTCACTGGATTGCCGCGAGCACGTGGAGCGGTGGACGCGGCCGATCAGACGCTCGCCCACCCAGCCGAGGCCCAAGCGTGGGTACAAGAAGCTCTTCGCCAGCTTCTGCACGGTACCGTGCAGCGTTCCTCCGTCCTGTCCCGCTCGCGGACGGTCCTGAGCACGCGGTCCGCCCTGCAGACCTCAGACTCACGCTGACCGAGAAGCCGGTGCAGCAACGCAGCCAAGGCAGCGGTGCCCTCAGGTCGTCCGTGCGCTGACGACGTCACCTCTTCACCTGTCTGGGGGCCGTTTCCGCGAGGGCACACGGCCACCCCCGGGAGGCGGAATCCAGCGGTCCCTGCAAGGCGAGCTGCTCGCACGGCGACAGGGACGGCAAGGAGACCCGAGGGAAACGCGGTGTTCGTGCGGAGCGTGGTCTCCGCTTGGCGGTGCTCCGTGCTTTGAAACTGACCGCACGTGTGACTGACTACACGCCGATCATCGTGCGCGTCCATCTCATTGGGCTCAGGGGCGAGTTCCGTTTAGAAGTAACTCCAAGAACAGTTTTTATATTTTATTTTCGCGTTGAAAACCAGCCAGATTCGCTTCAGCCTCAAAGAGCGTGTTCGTGTAGAAACGCTGGCAGCGAGCTGCACTGTTTCCTGCACGGGCAGGGCCTTAAATGATCTGGACGTAGCCGTCTCTGCGGACGGCTCATCTGAAGAAGGTGACCGTTACAGGGAGGCGAGTTGGACACGATCTTCGGGAAAGCAGTGGATCTGGAGAGGGATGGCGATACGGCGCTTAGCATCAGGACACACCACTCAGGAGCGGGCGTCTCGCTCCCAGCCCAGGGAGAGCAGAGCGTGAGAAAGCATCACGGAAGGAGCAGGTTTTGGTCGAGAGCGTCCAGGCGCTCCACTCACTCGAGCGCACGTCACTCCCCAGCAGCGCCGTGGGTGACATTAACTTCACATCCTTACACGTCGAGGAAAGGGGCTCAGACGGAGACGCTGAAGGACGTGCCCTGAGCTGCCCAGCTTCCTGACGCGCGCCCTCCCCGCACACCTGGTGGCCCCTGAGCGGTGAGGAGACGTCACGCTGCTCCTCCCCGGCATGACTTCTTCAGACACCGAGAGGCAGGAAATGGCATAAACAGAGGCTCGAAACCACGAAGCCTCGAAGACGTGTTTCCTGCATTAATTGGTGACTTACGATGACTTCAGATTTTGACATTTCGGTTTCTGTCTCCGTTGGAAAATCTCCATGATGGGCTGGTCCGGTTTCATCAGGAGCGAAACCCGAGTGCTCCAGCCCCCTGGGGTGGACCCAGCGCTCCCTGCTGCTGCTAGGGCGGCTGCCACCCCGCTCCCCGCCTCTCTGTGCCCCTCTGCTCTCATCCTGGCTGAGGGGGCGGCTGCCCCAGCCTCCCAGCAGGGGGTACGGGGTGACACCGCCCCCAGGGCACCGTGAGGGCAGTGCTCACAGGGGCAGCGGCGGCTGTTGCCGTTATGTACGGAGCATCCTCAGCATCTCCTTCCACTCGACCGTCAGCTCCCCGGAGGGGCAGTGCCCACCACGCATGCAGCACGCTGACCAGTGGCTGGCACTCCGCTCCCGACACACTTATGGTACAGGAAGTTCAACCAGCACTGGGTATGGGCCTTCGGGGTAAGCTCACGAGAGTGACTCTCGGGCCCACACGCCTCCCTGGGTGAGGGGACACGGCCGGTTTCCAGCAGGTGAGCCCGAGGCAGCCTCGTGGAGCTTTCTCGGGGTTCATTTGCTTTTGTGCCGTAACTTAATGGGTGTCATTTCCAAACTTCATGAGGGCATTTCCTTTAGCCCGTAACACAGTTCCTGCAATTAAGTTCTGTTTTTAAGATAGTGAATCTGAAAAGCTGTCAATCAATGAAACAGGCCATGAATTTAGAAAAAACTTAAAACACTAATATCCCTCCCTCCACGCGCACACCTGCACCCCGCAGCCAAAATTCAGAATTTCCTTTGGCTCTTTGTCCTTTGTCACCGAACTTTAGCCTCACAGCTTCCAGCCTGCCTCGTAATCTCTCTGTCTCAGAAATTGGCTGAAACGATTCAGTGATGTTTAATAAGCTCCTGAAACGTGCAGGTTTGAGACTTCTCATCTCAGGCTGGAGATGAGAAGGTACGTGGCCTCGTGATAACCTCAGTCTCCCGGGAGATAGACCCAGGCCAGTGATGAGCCAGCGAGGTGACGGCGCTGGGGGTCCCCGGGGTGCTGGGGCACCCAGTGGGGGCGTAGGGCCTTGGTGCCGCTGGCAGCTCGGCTGTGGTGTTGCACAGCCCCAGGTCTCATGCACGCTGCTCCGGGGCTTGTCGGTCGTTAGGTGGTCGGGAGAGACATGTGCTGAAGCTGGAGAAAGGGTCCGGCTGTTCACTCTGGCACCAGTGTCCTCCCGGAGGTGACCATGTCACATCCCCTCACGTTATTGGTGCCATAACCAAATCAGGTAACGTGGCCAAGAGTAGCTCCAGAGGGGGCGGGGTTGGACCGTCCCACCATGTTTCCAGGAGGGCCAGATGCCCCAGTGACCCCCAAAGCACCTCTCAGCACCCGTCTTAGAGAACACATGGCAGAAACAGTCACTGCACCCAGAGGCGACGCCGCAGCCTGTGGGCCGTGTCCCAGACAACCGTAGTCATGCACACAGTGGGACCACGCCACACATGGCCTGGCAGCGGCGTCTTAACGTTTGATGAACAGATTCTCGGGTCGGTTATGTGTAATCACGTCATCAATGAGAGCCGTGCGTCTGTGATGCATCATGGTGTTAAGTCGTTGGCCACTGTTCAACCAGATTTTGGATGTTATGAACCAGGCTTTCTGTGCAGGGCCAAACAGTAGATATTTTAGATTTTGTAGACCATGTATGGTCTCTGGGACATACTTTTTCTTTTAAACAATCTTTTAAAAATGTGAAAACCGTCCTTAGATCACAGACCATGTGAAAAGCAGGCCCGGCCTGCACAGCTGTAGCCGGCTGCGCCCTGGGTTGGCAGCCGGGCGGCGGGCGGGGCGCCTGCCTCTGCCCTCCTAGCTCGTTCCTGCATGTGGGGTCGCAGCCGGGGAGCAGTCGGTGCCAGCTGCAAGGCTCCTCCGTGCTGCTGCGTGACCTCCAGGGACGCCATGCCACTGGGTGGCCTCACCATCAGTGTGGGGATTCCCTTTTTCCTAAACCCTCAGCAAAATGGGGTGTTTGCATTGTTTTCTTCTCTTTGCTATTTTGGGAGGAAATCACTGGTACCCAATTGTTTTGTTTCTTAAGTAGGATGTTAAATGTGTTTTTCCCGCTTAGTAGCCGTTCGTGTTCTCTGTGAGATGTGCTTGGCCCGTGTCCCCACTGGGGTGTTTGTTTGTCTTGTTGCAGGGGTTCTTATGCAGAAATTCCACCAGACTTTCTTCCCAGTTTTCTCGGCCGTGCTGTATTTTCCTGCTTTCCCTTGTCTTTCGTTGTTGCTGTTCCGTGAGGCTTTGTTTTTGCTTCACTGAAGTCAAATCTGCTTTTCCCTCACGAGTGTTTCATGTTGCGAAATGCTTCAAACGGGCTTCAGACCCAGTCACACATCTGTCTGCTCCCAGTTCTCACGGTTCTGCACCGTTTCTGCCTAGCGTCTGTGGAATGAAGCTCTAAGTGAGGCTCGTCGTTTTTCCGATGGGTTAGCCAGTCGTCCGCGGAAGAGCCCCCCTTCCCCCACTGATTTGCCGCACGGCACTCGTCATTTATTACGTTCTTCGCCATGTGACGGGGCGGATGGCAGTGCCAGCTACCGAGGTGAAAGGTGGGGCCCAGGCCATTCGTCTTGCGTTGGGGGTGGGGTGGGGTCTTCAAGAACCGTTCAGTTTGGAAAGTGTGTGTGTCTGAATCCGGGTCCACAGCTCTCGTGCAGAGATTGCAGTGAAGACGGCTGTTGACGAGTGAGGCGTCCGCCACCACCTAACTCCAGCAGGTGGGAAGGGACAAGGAGAGGGCGCAAATGCAGTCGGACCCTCGGGGAGGTGGCGAGCGCCAGGCGGGGAGACCGTGTGTCGGGGACTCCATAGAAGGGGGGGGACCGAGCCTTCGGTTCCTTCGGGCGCCGGGTCAGCGAGCGGTCTGCCCACCGTGTTAACTGCGTCCTGTAACCCAGAGGGTCGCACGGCCTGACCGTCCCTTTGGCCTGAAGGCCCCACTGGAAACGCGGGCTGGACGCATTCCCCCTAATGCGCAGAAACGCAGATCGGAGCGTGTTAAATTGGTTTAAACTCACTCTGAACCTGTTCTCCTTGGACACCCGCATTTGCATAGTTGGATGAATCATTTTTCGGAGTCTCTCGATGTCTTGGTGTTTGGAGATCAGGAAGAAAATTCACGAGGGTGCTGAAGAAGTATTTTTGTTCTAGACAAATAAAAGATGACGCTTTCGGGAGTACTAGGAAAAGTTCGGGAGAACGTTGGCATAGTGAAATGCTTTTTCTAGGTTGGTATCAACGATAAAAATTTAATTACAAAGACTTTATAATAGCCTTCACCTCAGAATGACATCAAATACAAATTAGTGCCAAACGATAAACTGGGAAGATCGCCCCCGCTGTGACAGAGAGTTGGCACTTTAACGTTTGTGAGAAGACACTGGGGCAGGGCCCGCCCCCTGCAGGTAGGGCGGGCTTGGGCCTTCCCGGGGGCCAGGGCGCTGGCGCTGTGACTGCAGCCCTCGCTCCGGCCGCAGCTCCTATTCTGGCCTCATCGAGGGGAAAGGTCTAGAGATGCGAGCCGGGTGGAGCATCGATGTAGCACGGTTTGTAGTAGCAGTGGGAGCAGCCTACATGTCCAGTAATCGGGAACTGGCTGTTTCTCCCATGAAATGCGAGCCCAAAGCCATCTGAAATGGTGACAATGCAAAAGAATATATAGCGCACGTCCCCACTTCTATAAGAAGAGTGAATGTGTGTGCCCACGTATCTGTGTGTGGCCTCGAAAGGAGGCTCAGAAAGGGACTTGAGCGTAGTGGAGGTTAGTTCTGGGTGGAGTTGTCTGATACGTGTAAATGTGTCTTCGGTTTCTGTTGTCTTTCCTTAAGTGAACACGGACTGCTTTTATAACAGCAGTCGTGGGAGAACAGCCTTACCCACGTGTGCCACGTGTGCCTTGTTCCCACATCCTCCTTTTCACTCCCCTCGTTCGTAAGGTGGGCTGCCACTTGCATCTGGGAGAGTGTGAGCGACTGTAGCATCTTAAATACACAGAGGGAACCGGCCTCCCCTGCGGGGAGCAGTAACCTTCGGCCATAGTTCAGCAACTTCATGCAAAGGCATCCGTGAGCTCCTGGCTGGCATCAGGGCCTGGAGGGGACAGAATCTCGGGAGGGTGCTCAGAAGTAGCCGAGGCCCAGCTGGCAGCACCACTCCCTGTCAGGCCCCGGGGCTTGTAGGAGGTTCTGTTAGGGATGCGGTAGGCTTTACCGGTGAGGCTGGCACTTTGGGGTACAGGGTGGGTGACAGCACAGTCCTGTGGGTGGCGTGACCCTCTGTCCAAGGCTGCACACTGCTGAGTCCCCTGAATGCTAAGTCAGCCACGGAACAAGGGGCTCGATGGGGTGTGACGAGGCTTTGGATGCAGACGTGGTCAGGAGAGCCTGTGATCAATCTCTCTCCCTCCCTCTCTGCATTGCAGCCCCCCAAGGTGAAATGCTTGACCAGGATCTGGCACCCCAACATCACAGAGACGGGCGAGATATGTCTGAGGTGAGCGCCCCTTCCCTGCCTCCGCATTTGTGAGCGCGGTGTAGGAGACTGGGGCCTCCACCGAGAGGTGGTGAGGCTGAGCCAGGACGGGGAGGGTTAGGGCGCCTCCATGGGGGGCCGCCGGCTACACTCAAGTAGCTGGAGGGGGGCCTGCCCTGCCCTGGCCTCCGCCTGCAGACCCGCGGCCTCTTGCGCCCTCTGGTGGCCAAGGCCATGCGCTATCAGTGTCGCCTGCCACCAGCCCAGAGTGCTCCCTGGGGTCGGAGCCCTTTCCGCGTTTTAATGAGAGGCTGCATCCCTTCCACGTGGCTGCTTTCAGCCAAGAGGGAAGGATGTCGTCGATGCGGGGCCTGCCCTGTCCTGGCCTCCGCCTGCAGACCTGCGGCCTCTTGCGCCCTCTGGTGGCCAAGGCCATGCAATATCAGTGTCGCCTGCCACCTGCCCAGAGTGCTCCCTGGGGTCGGAGCCCTTTCCGCGTTTTAATGAGAGGCTGCATCCCTTCCACGTGGCTGCTTTCAGCCAAGAGGGAAGGATGTCGTCGATGCGATCGGGGGACCTTTTCCTTCACTTCGCTGCTCGTAGCAAACACGAGGCACCTTTGAAAGGCAGCGTACGCGCCGAGCGCGCCTGGCCGCTGGGATGCCAGCCCCCTTTTCTGTCATGCACGTGCAGTTGGTACCCGTTTCCCCATCCAGTTTGCATACGGGGCCCTTTTCCACATCCTCGTTTTTTGCAGATGGAAGTACGTTTTACATAAGTATACCTTTTTAAAGGCATCTTTTAAGTAACTGTTCTTAAGTATTGAAACTTTAAAACAGTGATCTTCAGTTTCACGTTACAAATGGCCTCTGGTCCAGTCCTCCCCGCTGGGCTTTCGCCTGTGCTCATGTCCCCTTCTCCAGTCAGAGTTCGGTCCCAAGCAGGAGTCCCCCTGTCGCTTTTGCTGTCTTCTGAGTAACCAGATTATTGGAAAAGTACGATGGGGGTTTAGCAGGTGCTGGCCTCCTCCGAAAGCCAGAAACCTTCAGGGAGAATTGATCGATTTAGCCGGGTTAAGATTAAAAGCCCCAAAACACAAAATCAAAAGAGATCGGCCAGATTACATCGTTCGTGACGGTCCTACTGATCAACGTGAAACAGGTAGACAGGCCACTGGGCAGGTGAGCATCGGCTGCAGACAGGTGGCTTGTAGGAGGTGTAGGTGGGCAGGAAGCAGCTTGTGGAGTCAGGTCTCATCGGAACCGATCACAGCACCAGCATGATGTCATTCCACGAAGCCAGACTAACTTTGCCGGAAGGAAACTCGGTAATAAGTTTTTCGAAGTAGGGGATAAGCTTTTATACGAGAGTATATAAGGTGTATTCAGTGATAGAACAGTGATGAAAATGACCTGGGTCCAGGTTAGAGCCGAGGCCACGGACCGCCGAAGCCAGGGCAGCGTCCCTGAGGGTGGCCCGCCCCGCCGTGGGTCGGCACCATCCAGAACATCGTGTTCGCCCAACAAGACAGGTCGGGGAGGGCGGCCGCGTCCTGCCGGGTCACTGAGGCTTGATCGAGCTGATGCACAAGTAGGAACCTCCAAGTGTCAGTTGCCCCCGTTGTCACGATTGTCACCCTCAGCTCTTACCACTAGGTTGACACGTGCTCTTTGGTGCTCCGTGTGGAGCAGGCTTTTGCCCAGCCTCGAACTTCCATGTCCGTCGGGATGAAAGGCCCGTGGGTGCCGCGAGGAGAGATAACATGGGAGCTTGGACTCGGCGCGTGTCCAGCCTCGGACGCAGGGAAGGCCTCCACAGCGGGACGGGGACGTGGGTGACGTGAGGGGACAGCTCCTGACGACAGGACTCAGGCCGAGAGCACCCGTCGGCGGCGCCGGCACACGTGTCCCTCACGTGCCCGGCGCTGCTCCTTGCTGACCACCCTGCCTGTCTGTGTGTTTCAGTTTGCTGCGAGAACATTCGATTGACGGCACTGGCTGGGCTCCCACAAGGACGTTAAAGGTACGATGCGATGCCTCTGACCGCAGCTCTGCCCCGGGGGCCTCTCCCTCGGTAGCCAGCCACCTGTGAGAACACCGGTGTCCCCTCTGTTCTGTCCACATCAGTGGCCAGCACACCCTGCTTCCTCCTCGTCCCACCGCCCACGCCTGGGACTGCTCAGCCAAGCCCTCGGCCCGGTCACGTCCTCTGCCGGGTTCTCTTCAGTGAAGCGGGACCGTCAGGCCATTTCCTCTCCCCTCTGGCCTTTCCTGTCTGTGCTTCAGATAATTTAGTTTCTGCTCTTTTTGTCCCTTTGTCCCCATCTTTTATAGTCATCTCACCCTTAAAGGTGAGGACAGTTACGAAGAACGATAGGAAGGAAAGGGTAGCGGTGACTCCTTCATGTCCCCTCTGAGTTACTCCGGACCGAAGACGGGTGGCAGGACGGCAGCCAGGTGTGCCTCGAGGGGAGGGCCCCTCCCCTGGGGACTGACTAAACGGCCCCGGTTGCTTCTACGACATAGGCTTGACTTTCAGGGGCACACGTCACGAGTGCCCACACGAGGCCACCAGCTGTGGCTTCGCCTCCAGGCTTTTCCTGCGTGGTGTCTGCGGGACACCTGGAGTGTCTTCACATCGCCTCAGCTCCGTGTCAGAAGTGGCCAGCACTCCCAGCCGGCGCGCACTTCATGGTAGGCGGCTGCCTGGCCCTTCCCATCGTTTCCGATGGACGAAACGTCTTCAGACGGGGGTCGCCTTCACCCCGTCTTGTGTTGGACCCAGACGGCCTTGCAGGCCTGGGTGCGGGGGCAGCTCTGTCCCCAGCCTGCACTTTGCTTCGGCTTGGCCTCCGTGCGGCACAGTTGCATGGACCAGGCCCCCTGAGGCCCTGGTCTTAGTGGGCCACCTGAGAGGGTTGCAGGTGGCAAACTGGCCTGTTTGGAGGCTCCGAGAACTGGCGGGCACGTCGCTCATGCCGTCCCCCCTCTCCCGCCACCTCCCCCCAAGGGTAAGAGTTTTCCACACATGTCAGCTTTGGCTCAGTCACGTGTGGAGGATCAAAGTCGTCCTCGCTGAAACCACTTATAAGTCTAAGTGTGTGCCAGATGCTCAAAAAGCCAGCAGCGGCTGGTCACAGAGATGCTACTCGCCACTGTCCCTTGGACACAAGGGCGAGCTGGAGCAGGCCTGGACGGGCTGGGGCCCTGCCCTGCCCACGCGTGCCAGGCTCCTTTCCCCACCACCCCTCGCAGGCTAGCGGTCTAGGCCCTGCCTTCCACACAGCTTGTGCAGAAACCCAGCTCTGCGGCCATGTGCTGATTGACTGGTTCGCCCTCAGAGACCGCCCCCTTCTTACTGGTTCGCCCTCAGAGACCTCCCCCTTCTTACTGGTTCGCCCTCAGAGACCTCCCCCTTCTTACTGGTTCGCCCTCAGAGACCGCCCCCCTTCCCCGCTCCCCAGCTCTCAGAGGACTCTGAGAGTGAAGTGGCCCAGCAGGGCGGGGGCCAGGCCTAGCTCTGCACGTGACCACACCTCCTGGGAGACAGCGCACACTGGGGGTGGACCCCTCCTTGTGGCCAGAAAGCACAGTCAGGTGTTGGCCGTCGCCAAGTCGGCACTCTGGGGCCGGAACGCAGGGAGGGAGGTTGGGCCCCGTCGCAGAGTCAGAGGACACTGCAGGCTTAGTGCAGTCGTGACTGTGTCTCCTCACAAGGTGTGGGCTCTGGCCATGGGCAGCCTGGCCAGTCCTCTCGCCACGCTCTGGACGCGTCCTGCCCTCTTGGGACTTAGCTCCTGTACAGGCAGTCTCTCTACCTGGAAGGCGACCCCGACTGCCGTCCTTGTTCCTGGCAGTGCCCCACATCCTCCTCCCTGGTGAGTCCTCTGGGAACCCAGGCCTGGCCCCAGGCCTGGCTCACACCAGAAGGATGGACGGACAGAGGGACGGATGGATGAGAGAACAAGGGGCAGTTAAAATTGCCACGTGCCGCAGTGTCGGAGTGAGCACAGCCCTCAGGAGGACAAGCTCGTGGGCCGATGGAGGGGGCGGGGAGGCCAGGAGAGAATCTGCGATCGGGTCCCACAGTGGTCGCCGGTCAGTCCAGAGAACACTGGTGTTCAGTTTTGTTTTAATGGGTATTTCTGATCTTCGAATTTTAAACAAGGTCAGTCTCCCATGATTTTCAAAGGAGCTAGAGCAGAATGATGAAGACTCAGTGGGACAGGGGACTAGCGTATTTGTGACTCCCAGGGCGGCAGACTCTGTTGTCAGGGTGACTTCAGAAGTCCGAACCATGTTGGGCAGTGACAGGTAAGCTCGGGTTCTGAGCAGATGCCGCCCGTGGGCCCGTCGGGCCCGGCCCTCGGCGGGGGGCCCACGTCTGCTCTCACAGACTCAGCCCGCAGAAGGGAAGGCTCTAGTTTTCTGTCTCGGGGGAGCTCAGTTTGCTGCAGGGAGATGTCACCACGCTTCGGTACATGCTTCTCGGGCGTGGATTAAAAGACTTACGTGCACAGGAGCCTGAAACCTGTCTTCTTTCTTCTTCATTTCAGGATGTTGTTTGGGGATTAAACTCTTTGTTTACTGTAAGTATATTGACCAGAATCCCAAGTGTTTCTTGATTTTCTCGATTCCCTGCCTGCTTGTCTTAAACATCACGTCAGGGACGACACGGGTTAGAAGCAGCACCCGTCCATCCTGACCCCTCTTTTCTGCTGTGCTTTGATGAGTCAGGACTGGTGAGGTGGGAACCAGCGGCTTTTGAGCGACATCCTGGGGAAGGCAGGGCCACGGGCAGAGCGTCCCCACTCCGGTCCTGGAGCGGCCGCCTCCGCCTCTTGGGCACGAGGCGGGTTCCGTCGCTCTCGGCCCCTTCCCACTCCCGTGGCTGGCAGGCGCTGGCCCGGCCCCCTCTCCACTCCCACGTGTCTTGGTTTGGGGAAGGACCGTGTGGTCCCCAAACTCTAGGCTTTTCACGAACCAGAACCATAGAGGTGGTGTGTCAGTGACAAGCTGCCTGCGACGATCACTGTCCTCGGAAACGGCTCATGCAGGCGAGGGCTGGAGGGCAAGAAGGGGCTTGGCCAGGAGCTTGAGCGCACAGCTGCAAGCTGCTACTCGCATTTTATGTAATGTTGTTATTCCTTTGAATTTTGACCTTCTGATCGTAAAAGAGCTTTAAAAGAAACTCCAAGGATCTGTCTTTGGGGGAAAAAGTTTTGCTGCTGTCAGAGAACCTAAGGTCCCTCCATGAAAACGAGGCCATCGTGGACAGCCCCCAAGATGCCAGTCTGTTGGAGGGTACTACCTGGCCGGCGGCAGATGGACGTGCACAGCTCAGTCACCCTGGGGTGGGGCTGCTCTGCCACAGAGCTCTCGTTCTTGTCGTCAGCAAGATTAAAAAAACGGCAGTCTCAAAATCAGACTCCAAGTCCCTACTTCCCTCTGCTTTGTCATCTGATGTCCACTGTAACACAAGCAACACACTGAGACTTCCTGATTTCAGGACGTCCCCTGATCTCCACAGGAAGTCATACCTCGGCACCAAGCCATTGGGGACAGTTTCTGTTTTGGGCTTTCTCGTTAGAGTGAAGTGTCCCTCTGGAGTGGCAAGGCCTGAGCATGACTTCCTGCCAGTCGTCCTCATGGCAACGATGAGCCTTCGTGTCCCCGGCGTTGGTCGAGGGGGCCGAAGAGCACAGGGGCACCTCGGGCCCTTCCGGGGCCCACGTGTCGTGGCATCTGCCACCACGGCAGAACCTTTCCCACTGCTTCCCCAGGTTCCCTGGCCCTGAACCAGAAATGGTTTTGACTGACAACTCACCCCAGGGGAGTTCATGGAAGGAAATAAGCCTCGGCTCCTTGGAGTTTTTTTTTTAAGAAATCTGATAAGAGTCTTTATCTCTCCAAGTGCTCCCAACCTTCCAAATTCTACAGCCTGTCAAAATTGCTAATTAAGTCTGGAATGATTATTCCGACCCATATGTTCATTTTAGGTCAGACGTGTGGCTAAGGGAATAAGGAATCGTGTGTGTCCGGTGTGGTCTTCACGTACACTGCATGTCTCGTGTACTGTACTTTCTGTTTTGGCCTATTTCTGGGACTTGGAGTCTAATTTATTTTCAGACAATCATAGAGATTGAGGACTTCCGTTACGTTTGTAACGTTGATCACGCCCATGTTTATTTGAAGTCAGGACTACAGTCTCCAAGTTTAGCGTTTCTCCTGAAGAGAGACAGGGTCATCTTTACGATGACCCGTCTGTGGCTTCGGAAAGCCACGGCTCATTAAAAAGACGGCTCTTAACACCTGGGTTTCTGGGAGGAGGAGGTGGTGCCAGGTGATGTGTGGCCTCTGATCTGAAATCCCCGGGTTTCAGGGCGGGGAGGGCATCCCAGGGCTTCTCTAAGTGGAAAGGGCTGGCGCCCCCCCTGCGGCCAGTGACATCGGCCTACTGGCCCTCACCTGCCCGCGTGCGGTCGGTTCGCTGTGTCCTCACTGCTGGGCGTGAGTGCAGAGCTTGGGAGGCGACTGAAAAGATGAAGGGAAATCGTTTAAGGTCGGAGTGGAAGCCCCGGCTTACAAAGGCAAGGTCATTCATCACGAAGTACGGGGGGAAACTAATGTGCAAGGGAGAGAGAAAGGGCCTTAGTTTGGAAATGCTCATAAGGAGACTGGTTCTTCATTCTCCAGTTATCAAAGGCAGCATAGGAAATTAGTGGGGTGGCTGTTGCCTCCGTTCTCAGGGCACTTTGGACGGTTACATGTAAACGTCACCCCCACTTCTCTCAGCCGTTCGCCCGTTTTGAATACAAGTTGGATAGTCTTGCCTCAAACGAACTGAAGTTCTTAGTGGAATCTCAAGACTCGAGGTCTCTCGTTCTACAGTTCGCTGATTAGGTTTCACCAGCTGGTTATAAAATGACTCAGCAGAACAGAGTCTTTCTGTTGTTTACTGTGAGTTTCTCTCTTTTTGAGGATCTTCTGAATTTTGACGACCCACTGAACATCGAAGCTGCAGAGCATCACTTGAGGGACAAGGTGCGCTGGCGGCGGGGCGTCTAGGGGGAGGACGGGGTGGGGCG